TAGTGACCCTTGTCATGAAACAGACCAAGCAATAGATGCTTCCAAATTAAAGGAACTTCTTTGACATGGCAAAAAAAAATCTTCTTGGGTGATAATTCATTGTCATATTAAGGCAAGAGAATGAAAAGTGTTCCAAATCCTCACATGAAGTGGTGGAAACACTACTTTTCAGCTTCTTGTTCTGAAAAACAAATACATGAAGGAGTATAAATAACAATTTTCAATTTGTTATTATTCTAGAATACAAAGACACTCAGAAGATTGGAATCTTCACTTTAGTTTGCCCTTGATACAATTCTAGGAAATGAAAAAGAGATGGCCAAGAAAAAAGTAAGAGGCCCTTTTTGGTTTTTTTTTGCTTATGATACATATATGAAAAATTCTTAAGTAGACTGAGCGTGTCATGTAATTTGTGGTCTATTCAATTAGAATGCTCCAAGTCATCTAAATGAAATCTTTTATGACATTATTTTAATTGATTTTATTCTTATAACATAATGCATATTTAATTTTTTACCTTTTCTTTCTCTACTGTCATTAATATTAAAATCAATTTATATTTAATGGCATTTGAATGTCATGTTTTTATTAGACTGACTACATATGGTGTGACATACTTGATCTATTTAAGAATTTTCTTAATATATACATAGCTATATAGGTTTGGGAAATAAAACATTGTAGAGATCTTACACAAAACTAAGGAGACTGGATAATAAATACTCTATATACTGGAGAAACAAAACCCTTAATAGAAAATGCTTATTGTTCTCATGGACAAAAATAGTGAAGAAACACATGACATTACTTAGAGTGACTACTGAACTCAGAGCTTGCCATGATTAGAGAAGATGATGAGGATTCCCAATCAAAATACCTTTTAAGCTTGTTCGTAGCCGTGAGCTTGAGTGGGTGAATCTTAAATTGTGGTTGTGAGCTCACTTGGGTGAATATTAAATCGTGGCTATTTGCGGAGTAAAAAAGAACCGAGCAAGGAAGGTCACTAATTTTGGTTTGCTAAGGAAAAAAGATGGTTGTTGAACAAGACAGATGAAGAATATGGTTGCTGAGCGAGAGTGCAAAGTCAAGAGTGAGACAAACAAAGGCACTCGACGTAGAGATAGAGCTTGAGCAGCTCAATAAAGAGAGAAGAGTAGAAGACTCACTGGAGACTGAAGTAAAGACTACAAAAATGAATAGGCAGGGTTTGCTTGAAAGAAGGAAGTACTAGAGTGGTGCCTGTGTAGTGTTTTAACTTTTAATGGGTGAAGGTGTAAATTTGGTCGTTAACTTTCTTCGGGAGCACTACATAGCTTGTACTATAAGGTAGTGTAAAATAAGTTATCAACTTTAAAAAATGGAGTATCTAGTGACCTTTGTTGTTTTTTATTTGACAGATGTTAACTTCCCATATAGGGCCCATAAAATTTTGACTGAATATGACACATGTCATTCCACCTCAACAAATAATTATTTTTAGGTTAAAGGTATAAATCTAGCTACAAACTATTTTTTGAAGAGTACTAGGTAACTTCTACTATTGGGTGGTGTAAATAAAATTATCAACTATAAAAAATAGATCATCCAGCACATTTCTATCAATTTTGACCAAATGCCATTTATTTTCCGACTTATGGGATTCACAATGCGTCAATCTCTTCAATATTCTTACTTTAGTTCTCAATCTCATCTTGAGAAGAAGAGGCTCAAAGAATTTTTATTTGAAGACATTCATAAAGATGATGCTAATGAAGTAGAAGAAAAAGAGAAGAAAATAAGGTTTCGTTTAAATTTTTGGGGCAATTCAAGCGAAATAGTAGTTTGAATTGTGATGCTACAACGTGTAGGAAAAGCTTAATTTAAGCTTAATTTAGCTATGAATTATTTTTGAACCTATAGTGGCATCACAAATTTAGCCATAAATTATTTTTATAGAAAATAAAGTGATTGAATCAAGTTTCTCCCATGCATAGTAGCACGGCAATTCAAAATATTACTTCACTTGAATTGCCACAAAGATTTAAACAAAACCTTGTCTTCTTCTACTTTGTTGGCATCATCCTCATGAATGTCTTTAGATAAAAACTCTTTGAACCTCTTCTGCTCAAGTTGAGATTGAGAATAAAAGTAAGAAAATTGGAGAGATTGACGCATTGTGGATCCAATAAGTTTGAAAACAAATAGCGTTTGGTCAAAATTGATGGAAATGTATTGGATGATCCATTTTTTATAGTTGCTAATTTTCTTTACACCACCCGATAGTAGAGGCTATCTAGTACTCCTTAAAAAATAATTCATGGTTATATTTGTACCTTTACCCTAAAAATAATTATATGCTGAGGTGGAGTGTCATGTGTCATTTTCAGTCAAAATTTTGTAGGCTCCAAATGGAAAGTTAACGTTTGTCAAATAAAAATTAGCAGAGACCACTGGATGTTTCATGTTTAAAAATTGAAAATTTATTTCGCACCATCTCATAATATAGGTTATCTAACACTCTTAAAAAATGGTTGATGGCTAAATTTACACCTTTACCCACTTTTAATTCAATTTTTTTAAATAGAGAAATGAGTAACTTGGTCCCAATTTTGTAGGGCTTATTTGAATAAACCAAATTAGCTTGAATTATAATAATCTTACCAAAATGTTAAGCTTGGTTTTAAAATTTTTTGCTTATTTGGACTAGTTCAAATTATCAACTCTAATGTTAGGTTTAGCGTGTAAAGTAATGGGCCTGATGTACATTTAATCGTTAAATTGGTCTTGATCTCTTAAAATAATTTTCTTCCCAGTGAGAGATTTTATGGTAATTTTCCCAAAGGTTTATCTGTGCTCCCATTCAAATATGTTAGAATCTACAAATCCACAAATTGACAAGTTTTTCATCATGTATCTTCGCTTTATGCCATCATCACTTACATAGTCATAATGAAAAGATTTTCAGTAACTGTGACCCAAAAAAAAAAAATCTTCCCAACAAGAGCAAATAATAACTGTTTCCTAACTAAGTAGAGACATAGTACACATATAAGGGGTTAAGATTTCAGCTCTCCAGATCCCAACCTTTTGTCCAAGCAAAATGCCACTCACTCAAGTTAACTTAACTTTGGTTGCTAATTATAACTATTATTCCAAACTTGTGACCGCTTAGTTGATTTTCTTCAAATTATCACCATGAGTCTTGACATGGTTGCTAAATTCATGGTGTTGTTTGGTCTTCTAATTAATTCGTGGCAAATCTCAACTTCCCCTTAGAGATTGAGTTATCGCAATTACATTATTGGAAACTTCGAAAAAAAAAAACTGTGATTTAAAACTAACATATTAACTTTAATTTCGGTATTGTGGCCAAAAAAGCATGCTAAATTGAACTATTTTTTTGGTAAGACATACTGACTGGCTTGAAATAAAATTAAAATAACATCTATTAATTCTTAAAAAAATCTAATAAATATTTTTTTCTTGAGACAATGTTGGCATAAGATATTATTCTGTGTTTTTTTTTTTAACCTTGTGATATTATTTTGTAAAGAACTTAAGATAAACCATAGTTATAATATAAACTTCCTCTGGATCAAAATATAGGGCATTGATAACTAATTTACAATTCTTGAAAATGTTAGTTGAAAGCTTACATACCCTATACGAGAGTCTTGATGATAGTAATTAAAATTCTAATATATTGCATAGTTAAAAAATAAGGATAAAGGGACAAAAATACTTACAAAGTGGTTAGTCAGAGGCATCAAGTATCATAAAATAAGAAAAAGAACATAAATACTCATAACGTTACATGAGTGGGTGTACAAGTGATCAAATTGTTAACTTCGACCTAATACCATTAACTTTGACCATTAAATACTGATTGTACATGTCATGTTAGTCTTTGTTGATATAGACTAATAAAGAGGCAAAAATACCAATAGAGTTGTTGGCCAGGAGCAAAAATACTCATAATGTTATTAGAATTGGTGCAAAAGTAACCAATCCATCAAATCCCTTAAATGTTGACTATTTAGCTGATACCTAAGTAAAAGTTGATCATTTTTTTGCTAATATGGACAAAAAAAAATTCCCAGATGAAATTCTTTGAAGGTTAATCGATCATTGTATGAATATCATGTGAGAAAATATTGTTTGACCCAATATCAAATTAAATCACTTGTTTTTTTTATAGTAGTGGAAAAAACCATTTGAAAAATTTGAACTTATCATGAATAAAATTGTTTAAGGTTGTGATAATGTTTTTAAGGTAAGGTGGCATAGGAGGTGTGCTCAGTTTTGATCTTTGATTGTATATAACCTATCTTATTATATTAAATCTCAGGTTTTGCAGATAAGAAAAATGAGTAGAGAGAGAGGGAGAAAGGAAGCGATATATGTGGCGATAGAAAGAAACCATTTGGCATTAATTTTGATAAATTGATCAATATTGCACCTACTAAAGTAACATTATGGGTACTCATACAATAATCGATCAACATCCATAAAAAATTCATTTGAAAATATTTTTTATTTACATTAGCAAAAAAAAGTCAATTTTTGCTTAGGTATTAGTTAAACAATCAATATTTAAAAGATTTGATGAATTGGTCACTTTTGCACCAACTCTGATAATGTTATGAATATTTTTACTCTTGACTGACGACTTCATAGGTATTTTTATCCCTTTATTAGTCCACATCAGCAAAAAATGACATGTGGTATGCACAGTTAGCATTTAACGATCAAAATTAACAGATTTAGATTAAAATTAATAGTTTGGTCACTTTTATATCCACTCATGTAATGTTATAGATATTTATATTTTTTTCACTATAAAATATTAGGTGCTTCTGGCTGATTATTTTATGAATATTTTTACTTTTTTATCCAAAAAAATATTTATAAAAATTACCAATGCTAAAATCAGTAAGGTTTTAGAAAATGTTTAATATTATGATAGGAAGTAAGTAAGTATTTATTTACAGAATTCACTCAAGTCAGAAAGAGAATGCTGATCGCGGTGGGAAAAACCTATTGCGAATTGGCGATCGATATACGGCTACTGCGCGAAAGAAGAAAAGGCGTGGGAAACCGTTGCTTCTCATTCCTGTATTTCACTTGTTCAACCCTAGGCCTCCTTCGACTATAACCATCCTCTTCACGAATCCATTCCTCCTTACTCTGCGGAGGCGGCGGCACTACCAACAGAGCAGTGAGTTTGATGTTCCGTTCTGAGTTCCTTGTTTAAGAAATAATCGCATACCCGCCCATTGCCATCCCTAAATTCCAAGCTCTTCTTTCATGGAATTTGGGGCTTGTTCCAGGGTGTGTAACAGTGCCCAAGTCTCGAACTTCAGCCCCGTCAGAAGCTACTCTCCAGGACCTTCATGTTTTACCCAGTTTTCTAACGTTTCACTTCGTTTTCCCACCTCTGTTTCTAGCAGAGGATACCCATGCAAAGCCATGCTCAACGAAACGGCCGCAATCTCTGGAAAGGTTCTTGCTATTTTTCTTTTCTTTGAACTTTATGATCATCGTTGGAATGATTCTATTGGCAGTGTTTTATCTTATGGGTTATGGTTGAATTTCACGCGTCCAGGTGAAGAAGATGGATGGAGCTCATTCGGGTGGATTTGAGCTTTCTGGTTTGACGGCTTTGTCGCCGTTGGATGGTCGTTATTGGGGTAAAGTCAAGGAATTGACTCCTTATATGAGCGAGTATGGGCTAATCTACTATCGGGTTCTTGTTGAGGTAAAGTGTCAATTTAAGCTCGACTTCTTTTAATTTTTTTTTTTTAGTGGGCGTAACAGTGAAGGGCTTTGTAAAGAAGCAAATTTATCTCATAATTGTATCATACCTAGTGATTGATTGAGAAAGAAATTTACCACATTGCCATGTTACATGTTTCATTAATGAGGAAAATTCTGAATCAAACATACGTGGGTTATTGTTTGTTTGGGAATTTACATTGGTTTACTCTATGATGTGGTAGAATGACAGTCACATGCCAATGCTGCTAAGCTGTAATTTTTGTGTTAAAGGTTATGAATTGGGTCTGATTTAACAGTGTCCGAAGGAATGAACATGCAATGATTCTTGATGGAATTTGACTCCTTGCATAAATTTGTGTGTGTACTGCTGCGTATATTTCATTGTGTTGAGCATTTTACGCATTTAGGCATACTTAGTCCATGGTGGGCTAATTTTACTGTTACTTTTGATGAACTTTCTCCTCAACTTGGTCTTTTATTTGATCAATATGTTATTTGTCAGATTAAATGGTTACTGCAGCTGTCTCAAATTCCTGAAGTTACAGATGTTCCAAATTTCAGTGAAGAGGCTAAATCTTACTTACAAGAAGTAATAGATGAATTTAGCATCGGCGATGCCATGGAGATAAAAAATATTGAGAAGGTGACAAATCATGATGTAAAAGCTGTGGAGTACTTCTTGAAGCAGAAATGCCAGTCAAATGCTGAAGTAGCTAAGGTTGCACTTCACTTCCTTTCCCCTTTCTGTCAACGAGGTTGTGCACTACTTTCAGTTTGGCATGATGGCATCATGAATTTTGATGGTTCACAACATTTTGAAACTTTTCAGTAGCATTCTTATATATCCTTTTTCCATTGCAGGTTCTTGAATTTTTTCACTTTGCTTGTACGTCTGAGGATATAAATAATCTTGCGCATGCCTTGATGCTGAAAGAAGCAATGCAGAAAGTCATTTTTCCTGTGATGAATGATTTGATTAAGGCTATATGTAACATGGCCAGAGATAATGCACATGTCCCAATGCTTTCACGTACACATGGGCAGGTAGGCTATTTTGTGAATTAGTTTAATAATCAAGATTTCTTGTCTTTTGTGGTTTTAAACTTTTGTATTTCCCTATGTATTGCATGAAATATGAAAGATAAGTTATACCATCCATGACTTGTGAATAATAGTGCGACTTATTATTCATTTTATTATACATATTGATAATATATTGGTGATGGTACATGAATATTGATGTTATGCAACATCATGAAAAATTCACTCTGCCATTTTTTTTCCCACTTTTCTCCAGCCTGCTTCACCAACTACATTGGGAAAGGAAATGGCAATATTTGCTGTGAGGTTAAGCAGAGAAAAGAAGGAGCTATCTGAGGTGGAGATGTTGGGAAAATTTGCTGGTGCTGTTGGAAATTACAATGCACATTTTGTGGCATATCCTGATGTTTACTGGCCTCACATTGCAGAGGGGTTTGTAAAATCTCTTGGGTTGAGTTTTAATCCTTATGTTGCTCAGGCATGTTCCTCTCCTTTTCCTTTATGCTAAGATTGGGCACAACTTCATGTTATTTAATAAACCAAGAAGGCTGTGAAGACTGAAATTTTTATGGCTTGTGCCATGCCTCTTGGCAATAATATAGACGTTTTTTGAAAATTTTCGTCATTTTTATCTTGTTAACATCTTTTAAATTTATGAAGAAGTTCTGCAATTTTATGAGCTGGGGGATTTATAAATTTCAAAGCAGAGTTCACTCTAGCTTCAGCTTGTTGTTGATCGCTTTATATATCCATCTGATTATATTACTTTGGTCTGGTAACAGATTGAAAGTCATGATTACATGGCTAAACTGTTTCATTCACTTATCCAATTCAACAATGTACTAATTGACTTTGACAGAGACATATGGGGCTACATATCTTTGGGTTACTTTAAGCAGGTGAGCTTTCTGATATAGAAGCTATAGTTAGTGTAGGTTGTTGGACTTTTAGTATTATAATGATCTCCTTAATGCAAAACCTTTCTTTCAGATTACCAAGGCTGGGGAGATTGGGTCATCAACTATGCCTCACAAAGTAAATCCCATTGACTTCGAAAATAGTGAAGGTAATCTTGGAGTGGCCAATGGAGGCCTATCTCATCTAAGCATGAAGTTGCCTATTTCACGTTGGCAGGCAAGGGTTATATCAGTTTACTTTTTCTTTCCAACATTTTTTACATCATGTCCTTATTGAAAATCTAAACTATGGTGATATGTGTGTATAATAGAAATCATGTATATCGGTTTACTTTCTCTATCCAACATTTTCTACTTTTTATCAGTTTACCTATTTAATCTTCTGGACTTTGGTTCGCAGCAAGTATGAATTGTGGTATGTGTGCATAATAGAACACATGTATATGTTGTTTGATCATGCTGTGGAAAACGTTTTTGTGTTAGCTACTATGGTCTATCGATCTCTTAGTACAATTGAGTGGTAGTGAACCATTGATAGTTTGATTTTAAGTTGCTATTGGAAGTAATATTTTTTCCTCTTTTTTTTTTTCAGCGGGACTTGACTGATTCAACTGTCTTAAGGAACATGGGTGTAGGAATAGGCCATTCTCTTCTAGCCTACAAAAGCACACTTCAAGGGATAGCAAAGCTTCAGGTATTAAATAGAACGTGATATACATTGGTGGTTTCTCAGGATGTGTTTTTCTTTTTCTAGTTGAAATGAAAATAAGTAAGGTGATAAACTTTGGTTCTTTCCTCTGTTCATTCGTAGCAGTTTATCTGGGAAAGTGCTTGTATAAATCTGCAGTTACATGCTGCTTGCAAGCCCATGGAGCAAATTTCTCCTGTTTTGGAATAATCCTTGAGAAAAGATAATGTCAAGATAGGCTTTTCTTCTTACAGTTAGCATTGTTTTAAAGTTTTGTTTGCCAACTTAGGTCAATGAAGCTCGCTTGAGTGAAGACTTGAACCTATGCTGGGAGGTGCTGGCCGAACCAATACAGACTGTATGTATATGCTTCTGACTTTTGGTGGTCTGTTAATTTGTTCATTTTCAATGCTTGAGGGTACCTTTTTGAGCTCTTTATTAGTGATGTGATATTCGCTTAACACATTTTACTAATTGGTACAACATAGACAAAAACAATTTTTTAGTGCGAACTGAGTTACTGATTCTTGTGAATAAAATTAAAAAAAATGAATAGGTATATTTCATAGTGCCTTTTTGGCTATGCTGGCTGGAATAAGAGCCGTTTCCTAATCATCATATGTATTTTCCCATCACAAGAAATTAAATAATATTTTTTTGAGAGATAAACAAGGAATTTGTGCTTCTGTTATAAAACAAAATCGGAAGCAAATATAGATAATTTTTTAACATAATTGCCCCAATTGAATTGAAAGAGCTGCAAGTTTTGCCTCACCTATTAATGGTATTGCTTGTGCAGCACGGCCAGACAGGCCCTGAGTCCCTTCTCGAAACTTGGTTTAAGGAATACTTGTAGCCAATGGGTTTTTCTAATTCCTGACATTATATGATAAAATGGTTGGCAATTATTTGCTGGATTCATTTGCAGATTTGTACTGGCATTGTTTATTGTGCTAGTTTTAATATAGATGTTTGGTGTCTTTGCAAATGCATGTATAGGTCATGCGAAGATATGGGGTTCCAGAACCCTATGAGAAATTAAAGCACTTGACGAGAGGGAGGTCGGTCACTAAAGAAAGCATAAGGGAGTTTATTGAGGGCTTGGACATACCGAAAGAAGCAAAGACGCATCTATCAAAGTTGACACCACATACTTACATAGGAGCGGCTGTGGAGTTGGCCAAAAATGTGGAAACAGCCGTGAATGCTGTGATTGGGATGAAAATCTTTTGAGAAGCTTCAGGCCTCAGTATTAGGACCAGATCTGAAGACACTTCCCTAAATTTAATTCCATGTTGGCTCTTGTTGTACCTGGGGAGGCTCAATTCTTACCCCATTTTCCATTGGGGGTATCACCAACGATTTTCCTTTGGGTCGCTCCGAACCCTCCGCTAACATCTAGATTTCATAATTTACACTCGATTTAGATTTAGAAATAAGAAAATCTCTTGTATTATAACTTAAACGGTCCATGGTTTTTTTTTTTTGGGACCTGATAAACGACCCATGGTTGATGGAGTAGATTTTTTATGGTGAAAGTCACCAGCTTGCGCCTCTTGCAATATTGAAGTGGTGGAATAGCGATTTCCGGTTCCAGACCTGGGATTGTCGTAATTGCAAGTTGGTTTCTCTAATCTTTGATTATATTTTATCATGCTTGAGTAGTGTGAAACAGATAGTTGTGTTTTAATGCATGTTCTATTTTGAAGGATATCATCTGCAAGAATAAATGATTTGAGTTTAGTATAAAAAAGTGACAATTAAAAATGAAGTTGTTAAACGATGGAGAGTGTTGAGTTTAATTTTTTGTGTTCAATTTAAATGATTCAAGGGTAACAAAAGAATAGGGCGATCGCTTAAAAAAAATAGGCTGGTTTTCTTGAGCATAGGGTGATCTGATTTTGTGAATCATTACACCAGCCGACCATTGCAGAAAATCGTCCTCCCATTCATCACATTTCAAGCACGCCGCAAGACCATGTTGGATCCCAAAACCAAAAGAAACTAGTTGTAATGATTCTGATTATCCCAATGGTTTACGAGAGCTAAAAAGCCATGACGAATCTGGTTGAGATTCGAATGCACATTCTTCAGGCATTAATGTAGAACAGTCAAGATGTAATAAATCTCTGAACGAGCATTTGATTAATGAGAACTGCCTTGAGCAACTTAACCAAACGGTACGTTCAAGCATACATCCTCATAATACTTCTGAAGGTTCAAGAGTGAAAAGGAGGAAGTTTTTCAGGGTTAAACATTTAATCAAATATGCTAGATGACTCAAGAAAAAGAAAGCGGTTCTCATCAGTTTGGGATTCTTCTGACTTTTCCTTCTCCAAAAAGGGTTTGTTTGTTGAATCTCATCTTTAATCTACTTGAGATCAGTTTATGAAGGACCATCTTTTTTCACTTGTTAAATCCAATGCTTTCTGCATGGTTCATAGCTATGCCACCCGGATTTGGTCAAAGTTCTTGTAGGACTTGCTTTGTGAGGGCAAGGGCAAGAGACCATTTGAGGCCATCGTCTCTCTTACACAGGCGCAGAAAAAGATGAAGTTGGATTTCTTTTAAGAGGCTCGGGAAGCTGCCTACCCAAAGCATAACAGCTCAAAGGTTGGAACACCTTATTACTAAGTTTCAGCTGGATGTTATCTTCTTGCAAGAAACTAAGATATCCTTTAGCGTTGCTTTTTCTAAGGTTGAATACCTAGGATTTATTTTTGGAACTAGCACGGATGTTGCTAAATAAGGGTGGAGGCATGGTGGTTGCATGAAAGAAGCATGTTGATGTTGTGGTTCTGGGCTGTAACCATATATACTGTTGCTTTTTTTTTTTTTTTTGTAACTACTGGCATTTCTTGTTACATCTCCTTTATTTGTTGTCTTCCAAGAGCTCAAGATAGATTTCTTTTATGGGACTGGATTAAGATTATTGCCAACTCAATCATTGCGCCTTGCCTGCTTATTGGAGACTTCAATCAAACCTTATCAATGTCGGTCAAGGCAAGTGCAGTAAGAAACTCATCCTCAACTGGTTAATTCAAGGAATGTATCTCACTTACAAACCTTTTGGAAATCAAACAACATGGGCCTAAATTACCTTGGAGCAGTAACATGAAGGGTTATGATTTGACTCTTGAATGAATTGACAGAGCTTTCTGTAATGGAGAGTGGCTGCAATCTTTTACACACTCGAATTTACTCAATCTTCCACGAGTTGCCTCTGATCATTGTCCTGTTATTTTTTCTACTGCTTTTGAGACTCCTCCTTTCGTAAGCTTTGAAGATTTGAAAACTTCTGGCTACCTTTTATAGAATGTGAGGAAATTATTTATGCATGTTGGCGAAACTATGTTTCAAGATCTCTAAGTTTTAAGGTTCATAACAAACTATCCAGGTTGCTATCAAGTCTCTCTTTTTTAGTAAATCTAGGGTTGGGAATCTATATCATAAGATTAATTTGCTTAAGAGTGAGATATAGAAGCTTACTGCTGTAATAGATTCCTCTTATCCTCCTGAGGAAAATCTTCTACAACGGTTATAGTATATCAAGCGTGATTTGGAGTTTACTTATGATTGTCAACATAGTTATTGGGAACAAAGAGCTAAGGTGAAATGGAAAACAGAGGGGGGAAAGAAATACAAAATTTTTTCATCTTACAATTAATAATTGTAAGGCCAAAAATTTCATGAGATGCCTTAAACTTGATTTTGGAATTTGAATTGATGATCAATCAGAGCTTCTATCTGTTACTTGGGAGCACTTCAACATCTATTCATGCTTCAGTGAGTACAATTTTGAGCAACTTACAGCTGATATTAATGCTTTTTATACGCCACAAGTGAATGAGTTTAATCAAATGATCCTTATGGCTCCTATCTCAAGAGATGAAGTTAAGGCAGCTGTTTTTAGCTTGATAAAGGATAGCTAGCCTAGACCAGATGGATTTCATGCTAATTTTTTTTCACAAATTCTGGACAATTGTTGAGGAAGTTGTCTTCAATATGGTCTCTCACATTTGGACCTCTGAGAATGTTCTCAAGTCTCTCAATCGTACTCTCATCACTCTCATTCTACAGGGTAACTCCATCAAGATTTTTAGAGATCTACGACCAATTAGTCTTTATAATGTTTCCTGCAAAATATCTCAAAGGTCTTGAATAACAGACTTAAGGTGATTCTTCCAAGTCTGATCTCATCTTTTCAAAGTGCTTACTCGCCAAATAGACTCATCACTAGTAACATATTAGTGGTGGCAGATCTGGTTCATCAAATCCATTCTACAAAGGGGAAAAGGAAAGAACTTGATTTCTCCAAAGCTTTTGATAGATTGTCTTGGATTTTTAAAAGGCTATTCACAAAACAAACTTCCCACCTAAATGGATTAATTTGATTCTTCAATGTATCTCTATGGTGGAATATTGGATTATTTTTAATGGATGTCTTTGTCATCCAATTTCTCCCTCCAATGATATTTGTTAAGGAGATCCATTATCTCCTTATCTCTACATGATTGCTGCTAACGTTTTCTCTTGTCTCCTCATTCATAAGGAGCAGTAGGGGGCTTTCAAGGGAATCAAAATATGTCAAAACTCTTATCCAATCTCTCATCTCTTATATGCAGATGATTCCACTATTTTCTTTGAGTACACGAGGGATGGTATTGAAACCATTAAAGGGATTATTTAAGATTTTTGCAAATGGTTTGGTCTTCTGGTGAATGTTCAAAACTTCCTTGCTTCCTAGTCCTAATTTCCCTACTAAAATTCAACAGGAACTTGTTGAACGATTAGACATTCAACCCTCTGACTTGCTAAAAAGGATAAGTCTTTTATTTATGCCCAGGTTATGGAATCCATTGAGGACAGAATTGCCTCTTGGAAGGTTAAATTTCTATCACAAGTTCCCAGACTTGCTCTCATCAAATTTGTGCTCTCTGCTTCTAATATCTACACTCTATCTTGTGTAAGGCTGCCATAATATCTTTGTGATGCCATTGATGCTAAGCTAACTAATTTCTTTTGGGAATTCAATGATGGCAAAAGAAACATTCATCTACTCAAAAGAAATATTCTCCTCTCTCCTATAAAAGATGGTGGACTTGGTTTGAGGGACACTAAGAATATGAATGTGGCTTTATTGGGTAAGCAAATTTGGAGAGTTCTTAATGCTGAAGAACATTCACTTTTCGGAGACATGATTAAAATTAAATATTTTCATAATACTAATGGGCTTTTTACATAAAATACCTCACAATGCCTCTTGGTTTTGAAAAGATATTTTCAAAGCCTCGAATTTGATCAAAAAGCATATCACTTGGGAAACTTTATGGAAGCTTTCCAATAAAGGTTTTGTAAGGTCCCATTTATTAATTCACAATTAGGTCTAAAATTGAGGAAATCACAAGACTAACCTGAACAGATTATCAAGTTTGTAAAATTTACATAAATGGGATCCCAAGTTTCAAAACTTAAAATGCTATCAAATCATTTAAAAAACCAAAATTAGAGCAAAACATGCAAATAAAAGCATGGGCAGCATATGAGATAAGATAATATCAAATTAGGATCAAAAGAACAAAAACAATGATTCTGGCATAATTATGCTGCATCATAAAATTTTATGCTACGGCATAAAATGCAGAACATGACAGATTTCCTAGCTAAACTCCTAACGTGCCCTAAGTCTTTGTCCAATGTCCTATTGAGATGATTTAAGTGTCTACAGAAAGGTCTTTTAAAACTCTAACTAATGGTATTGGTTTTTTTTAAACTATAATCCAAACACAAATTGGACATCCAAATACAACTAGCACATTTTTGCCATTAAGCCATAACTTGGATGTCCAAAATTCGCATCAAGTGTCAAAAGGGAAACCCAATACCTAAACTACATTCAATAAACTTAGGACAATAAATGTAACATACCACAACAATTAGATATCATATTTTACAAATTCAACCCTCAACCCCTTGATTTTAGAAATAGCAAGGGGAGGCATTTTAATTTGACTTCAAAACTCAATATAATCGAATACAAACATGCATATAGTCAAATTTATATTTGCACTAGTATCTTGTTTTGTTCAAATATCTCAAGTAAAAAAAATACCATACACACTAGGGCTAAAAATATATATTTCAATACTCAATATTCAATGGTGCAAATGTAACAAAATATAAACACCTTAATTGGCAATATCAATTTTTTTATTCAAAACAGGGCTTATGCCTAGATTTTATTTAAATAGAAACCAAATAATCACTATGATCTATTACATCTTGATAAAGCCACTCAAAAATCCTATTAGAAGGGTCTCTACAGTCGTCATTGAGTAAGACCATATTTAGCAATCTAATGTGCACTCATATTACTTTCTCTATGAATATGCCTCACCTATACATTCCACTCTTCATTAACCATCTTCAGTGCATGACGCATCTGTTAAATTTGAGCTTTATGACCTTCTCTGTGAATATCAATTAATTACACACATGCATCTAAAATTACGAGAGTCCTACAGTAGGAAACCAAGTTCCTAAGCCTCTAGTGCTTTTCCTTTGTCTTGCTCAAAATAGTACCTGTAAAATGTTAAATAGAGGGATAAGTATAA